GCTCTAAGTCAGTCACATTATGTGGACAAAATTTTGAAAAAATACAATAAGGATGATATTGGCTTGACTAGAACACCGATAGATACGAGTCAACATCTTTCTAAAAACAAAGGTGAAAGTGTCTCTCAAATAGTATACTCGAGAGTTATTGGAAGTTTAATGTACTTGATGAGTTGTATAAGACCAGATATAGCTTACACAGTCAGTAAACTGAGTAGATACACTAGTAATCTAGGAGCTGATCACTGGAAAGGAATAGTAAGAGTGCTAAGGTACTTATGATATACTCGTGACTATGGATTACATTATACCAGATATCCAGCGGTCATTGAATGATACAGTGATGCTAATTGGATATCTGATATAAAAGACTCAAAGTCCACCAGTGAATTTGTGTTCATATTGGGAGTTGTTGTCATATCGTGAAAATCCTCTAAACAAACAGTTATAACAAGATCTACGATGGAATCTGAGTTTATAGCTCTAGATAAATGTGGTGAAGAGGGCGAATGTTTGCGCAACTTTCTAGAGGATATTCCAAGATGGTCAAAACCTGTGCCAGCAATTTGCATATATTGTGATAGTCAATCAGCAATAGGAAAAACACAAAGTAACATGTACAATGGTAGGTCTAGACATATACGTCGTAGACACAATACCGTAAGACAACTACTCTCAACTGAAGTTATCACTATTGACTACGTAAGATCAAAAGATAACATTGTGGATCCGCTAACCAAAGGGTTAAATAGAGAGTTAATTGGGAAGTCATTGAAAGGAATGAGACTTAAACCCTTGAATGAATAAGTCATTACAAAGGAAACCCAACCTAGTTGACTGGAGATCCCAAGATCTAGGTTCAAAGGGACAACCTAATTGTAAAGGTTTAATAAAATCACTATGGGAGTGTTTCCTCCTGTTCATTCCTATGATGTAACAGTGATGCCTGTAAGGATGAAGGATAAGCAATATGCTTTTAATGATTCTTATGCATCGAAGTTCGAGCCAAGTAATGCGGGTTACTTGTAATAAGAAACACCTATGTGAGAGAGAAGTGAGGCCGCTTCTAAGAGAATTATGTGGGGCTCAATTTTTAAGAACTCTCACAGAATCAGGCATATGTTCATGGTCAAAACGAACATAATAATGAGAACTGAATTATGTTAGGAAGAATCATGTGTGGGGTATATCATTGTTTACATAAATGGCAAGAACAGTTCAAGGACAACATGTCTACTGGTCAGCTAGTAAAGTAAATATACTTTCACAAGAGAAGGTTCAAAGGGTGATACCTACCTATCCTATGCAGGCTTCAACCGTTGAATTTTATCACCTAGTCTTGTGTCTCGTGATCACAAAGTCTCGTGTCTCACGGTCTCATGTCTCTCCCAATTTTATTTCACGTGGGAGATTGTTGGAAAAATGAGTAATAGCTCACTTTTGGCAAGATTTTCGGTGAGACCTGTTGGTCCAATTTGGAAGATCAAAGTTGATCTGTGTTTTCTTTCGTGAGAGTATCAAAATCATATATTTACTTGCCAAAAATGAAGCTCGGGTGAATGAGAAATTGGAGCTCAAAGTTGATCATTGAAAGATGATTTTATGTAGGAAAATAGCTTTTGTCCCACATAGGAAAAGAAAGAAAGCAAAAATCACTTTAAATATGGTTGTACATTGGAAGGGTGTAACCATGTGTAGCATAGATGCTCTCTTCATGCGCGCGCGCAGGGGGTGCAAATCTCAGACCGAAACAGCCTTTGGACCTTGAACTTGTGCGGGCGCGACCTGCGTACATCAATGTCGGATTGAACGAAGCAAAAATTGGCACTTTCGGAGAGCCCACGTTTCGCAATTTTTTCTTGCTTTCTCAACCTGACTTTTGAGTTTTTGAAACTTCCAAAACTCCCAAAAATTGAAGTTACTCCAATGTTAATTGCCATAAAGTTAATGGCAGATTTATGCTATATTAAATCTCAAGTTTTCAGCAATTTACACAGATGAAAAAGAAAAACGTTTTCTTCCTCACTGTTCAGAAAACGTCCCCTGCAATTTCTATCTGTGTCTTTCTCCAATGAGGTCTTGATTTCTTGCATATGCATATCTGTCCAGTAAGGTCGTTGTGATATTGTTCAGACACTGTATTAGTTCGTCGGAGTAGTTTTTTTGGTGCTTAGATTCTACGAATTTTGTCATTGTATTCTGAGAAACAAACACTCAGATTAAACATCAAGCACTTACGATGAGTGGACGAATCTATTTTAAGGAAACTGTGTTAGCATAAGCCTTGGATTGAAAATTTATCTGCTATTTATTTAATTTGCATTTTATTGTTGTAGATTTATTTATTTAGCGATTTACATGTTTGCAACATACTTGACTCATATATTATTTGTTAAATTTTTATTAGAAATAGATCAATAAAATAAATTATTTTTTTAATTCGTTATATGTGTGAAAATAGATTTCACATATACGGTATTTCTATTTGTAAATGAAAAAATTTGTGTTATTTTAGTTAGTGTATGAATAAAAATACTTTATGCAAATTCTGTACAAATACGGTGAGCTTCGCCGCAAATACAATGAGCTGGTAATATACGGTGAGCTTTCTGCAAATACGGTAAGCAACATATACAGTAAGTTGCAAATACGGTAAGGTGCAAATACGATAAGCTACATATACGGTAAGCTACCTGCAAATACGGTAAGCGCAATATACAGTATATGTATATACGGTATGCTTAAATTTGGTGTTTAAACTACACATACAGCACGTGATAATTCGATTTCATTAACACCACTATATTCCAACACTGTAAGCGCAATATACAGTATATGCATATACGGTATGCTTAAAATTGGTGTTTAAACTACATATACAGCACGTGATAATTCGATTTCATTAACGCCACTATATTCCAACAAAAACTTCATTTTTTCATTCATGATTTTTTCCCGAAGCTTCTTTCTGTTTGGATGGGTGAATGGTGGCTGAAAAGAATAGAATAGTTATGGTGTCATGAGACAGAGTCAAAATTAAAAGAAAGAACAAGATCATATTTTTTGCATGAACACTAGCAACAAACCCGGGGATATAGCTAAAATCAAGCAGTTCCCTCTTGTTTGCACAATCAACAAAACATTTTAGACCCATCTTTAGATTCCACTGCAGACTGAGTTTTATAACACTGCACTCACAATTTCATCAGATATTACCAAACATAATAAAAAATGAGTGATAAATATATGGTTTTTGAACAAGGTACTAAACCCCCCTTTCTTGACCAATTGTATTACCTGGCCACTAAGCATCTCATACAAAAAAATTCCCGACGCTCCACCAATCTGCGTTTTCATTGTGGCCTTTAGCGAGTTAGATTTCCGGAGCCATGTACTCTGTTGTTCCCCACATTGAAATTGATCTGCGTGATCCGTCAATCTCCTTGGCGAGTCCGAGAGCAGTTAGCATAACCTGAAGAGAAGTACTAAAATTAATAAAGCAGTGTGTTATAGATTCAAGTAATGATTGAATTTGCAAGTCTTCTATCATGTCATTTTATATATATCTTGGTAATTAGAAGAATGAAGTGCTTCATGTACCAGTATATAGATAACTACGAGCATAGGACACTTGGTAGGAGAGCAAGAATCGATTAAAATATATGAAAGACGAGCTAAAAAATTAGTGATATGTTTTCCAAGGACAAGTTTGATAGGTACTGATAGATAAATAACGTTTGACAGTAATAAATAAAGTTTAAATTTCTTTTGTTCTTTATTATTCCGAAACGTGATTCCACTATCTTTACCAAATATTTTGCGTTGCTTCATATATAATTCATAGAAACCTATTATTTTTTATTGCATTTTCCAAAATTATGGTATGAGTTGACTGGTAGATTGTATGGGATTGTTGGACCTCTTCTTTAAATGAAGGGTAAGGGATGTAAATGAAGAGATGAATGAAACCTGTGGTGCAAGATATTTATTGTTTACCAGTCATCTGGCTCTGAGCAGATTTTAAAATTTCAAGTTGAAAAAAATAAATAAAGAGAGATATGTTTTATTTCATTTCACTTGGATTAGCTAACATACATTTGCTCTTCAGTTTGACAATTTTGTAGGTAACCGTAACTAAAGTTTACGGACAATTTCATGTGACTAAGAATACACTTGACAATTTTTTTTTTACATTAATATATCAATTGTTTCGAGAACCTCTAATTTTTCATTTGTCTAGCGTCAAATATGTATTGGGGCATGCATTTCTTTAAGCACGTCGAGTCACCATTAGTTTTGGTAACTATTATAGAAGAATTTGTCAAATTGAAAATCATAAGTTATACGATCAGATTGAAACAAATCGAAGTTATATAACTAAAATGAAATAAACTTGTAAGTTGGGTGACCTCCATTAATATTTTTCCTTTCCAAGCTCAAATCCTTATCAATGACATGACAGGTTATTTATTTGTTCAAAATACTCCCAATTGCATTATGACTTTGTTCTCATGAGAGCAACTGTTTCAATTTAAATTTTGCCATTCCTTTCAGTTGTTAGGCTGATAGAAAAGCCAAACTGAAATTTCCAAAATCAACTGTCCCTCTAAAACTATTCTTTCATGATTTTTATCATATTTGGGTTTGTTTGTCAAAGTTAGTGGACTTTTTTGGTACATAATAATTGATTAAATTAGATCATACAATAGACAATACAAAAAATTTTACCTGACAAAACAAATCACTACGACTATGTCAATTGTTTAGTATACTACAGTATTATGGTATATCGCACTTATCGATTTAATAATGTCATCGAGTCTATATGTGTTTTCGGGTGACTTCATTACACATGATTTCTAAGACATGACAACCTCCATGAGTTCATTCAATAAATTTACTATTAATGATGATGACTTCCCATCTATTGTCAAAGGCTAACTACTCCAACCAATATAACCTATAGATTAATCTGATTCATAGGATTTTCTTGAAGATAATCCCAATATTTAAGCATGGCTACTTACAGATGAATTACATCATAATTCATTTGCTCTTAGCCAAAAAACATTAAGGCATGGCTATTGTGAAAAACCAATCAGGCAGTTATGTTCAGTTCACAGTGATCCTGATAGGTTTATTACTATTTCCATTGCCTTCTCAATCTTCAGATCCTGATCCTTTACAGGATTTCTGCATCGGGGACACAAAAAGCGAGTTTTCCGTTAATGGATTTCCGTGCAAGCCTGCCACGAAAGTCACTTCAGACGATTTCTTTTTCGACGGGCTAAGCCAAGAGGGAAACACGAGTAATCTCTTTGGAAGCAATGTAACCCAAGCCAATGTTGTGGCATTTCCGGGCCTCAACACGCTCGGGATCTCCATGAATCGAGTCGATATTGCTCCAGGGGGAATCAATCCACCCCACTCCCATCCACGAGCGACCGAGACCGGAGTTCTGATCAACGGGAAGCTCCTGGTTGGATTGATAACAACTGGGAATGTGTTTTACTCCAAAATCTTGAGTCCTGGACAAATGTTTGTGATTCCTAAGGGACTTGTACATTTCCAGATGAATGTTGGAGAAGAAAAGGCTTTGACTTTCACTGCTTTTAACAGTCATTTGCCTGGTGCTGTTGTCGTTCCGACGAATCTTTTTGCTTCAAAGCCTTCTGTTCCTGATGGTGTTTTAACCAAAGCTTTTCAAGTTGATAAAAGAGTGATCGATGAAATCAAATCCAAGTTTGGCGCTTAACACTGTTTTCTGGGAATACTTTATACTTTTGGGGGTTGAAGTTTGCATGTTCTTTTATAGCTCAAAAGAGGGGGAAAAAATTGGAAATAAGATATTCAAATAAGACATTTTTTTTATGTATCTCACCAGAAAATCAATAAATGAAATTTTTTTGAATAACAGTATATTTAAGTAAATAGCGCCAGACAACAATGCAAACGGTACGAAAGATATACGATTTTAACTTCTTTTTACGTATTTCACTTCCGCTTGATATGTGGTTTTTTTCCGTGGATCCATTTTCCAATTTTATGATGTTTGATAGGATTTTATTTCTATGGAATTACGTTTTCTTACTTGTCTTGAGAATTGATCTTTACTTGATTTTTAAGGAAAACCAATTCTCACCAAAATTGGTGAGAATTGGAATTCCAAGTTAATGTAGCATTTTGCTTTTTTTTTTTGATTTTTTTTATTATTATTTTTTGTATTGGTAATGGAAACAAATTCTAAGATTTATTGTAAAAAAATATTTCATTTTAATTAACAATTTTCATGTAAAACAAAGTCAAACGAACACTAAAAAATAGATATTTTTCTTGATTTTTTTTTTTTTGGGTTTTGGCAATGGAAACAAATTTCATTCTCAATACCAGTAAATTCTATCCTTTTAATTGATAATTTTCATATAAAATAAAGTCAAACGGACATAAAAATACACTTTAATTTAAACATTTTTCACGTGAAAAATTATACCAATCAAACACAATAATTTACAATTTCCAAAAGAACAATTTTCCATCAATTCAATTCTCTGGAATTCGTTTTCTTTCCACCCAAATTCCACCTTTATAATCAAACGGATCCTAGTGCAATATGGTTCAATTCAATTTCGCCTCCGTCTGTGAAGAATTTATGAATGGTTTAATTTATAATCGAAATGAATGATGGTTAAGTAAGAGCGTGTGGTTGAAAATAAAGATTGACCATATATAAATAGTTTACATATATTGCCAAACGGAGCCTCAATCTATCAAACATGGTTCCTTTTCACACGTATGCTTTTCAGTCGGGCCTCAGTCAGGAAAATTCGAGGGGATAAAACCATCCCGCAGCTTTGTCTGGGACCGGGCGTCCAACCGTGTAGGAAGACTCATCCTAACCACCAACTTCTGCTGAGAGCAAAACTAAATAAAAGAAAATAGACTAGACCAATTGGAATGCTCGACAAGGTAAATGAATAATTACATCAATAAGTACTTGGTAGTTAGTAGGACTTCAAAAATCGTCAAAGTGAAAAACTGAATCGAAATCACGTTTTTGAAATCGGCAATTTAGTCCCAAATGACCCGTAAGGGCCTGTTTGATAGGCTTGTTTTCCATGAAAAAAAAAAAAAAAATTCATTTCCACCCAAAAATGCATTTTCTATGACAAAATTTTTTCATGGAATTGATTTTCTTGATACAACCATTTTATGCATCATTTTCTACCATTTTAAGGAAAATATTTCCCATTGGTTATGTGGTTTTTCGTTTTTCAGATTATTATTTTTATTTATTAATTTTTTTTGGCAATTAATACAAATTCTATAATCAATTGTAACAAATTTTATCCATTTAATTGACAATTTACATGAAAAACAAAGCCAAACGAACATCAAAAGATAAAAAATTTCAACATTTTTCAAGTTAAAAATTATACAAATCAAACACATTAAATTATCTGGAGTTCATTTTCTTTCTATTCAAATTTCATTCTTGCAATCAAGCGGACCCTAAATGAAATCATTCTGGTTTAATTTGTATTTTAAAATTTGTACCACGATATGTAGTCAAATCGGACCTTTCAAAAAATTTAATATAAAAAGTAAAAAAAAAAAAAAAATTAATTTCCACAAGAAATTGGACTGTTAACCTTCAAAATAAAATATAACTATTAAAATTTAGCCCCCCGTTTGAGCCATATTATTGTAAAAATGAGAATGAAAAATATAGTCGTTATGGACCCATACAAGAGATAAAAAGTCAAATATAGTGGCTTAATGTGATAGATAATGATCATATTTTTCATTTTAATGAAGAAATAATGGGACTCAAACACGGACCAGTCGGAACTTGATCAATTGTCTATTATCAAATACCTATTATTAATTAATTACTCTAATTTTATAATCCTATTATCAATCAATCCGTCAAAGTAGAAGCCCTCGTACCAAAGAAACCTCTTCATATTCAATATTCACGCAGCAAACATTGAGAACCAAAAGCTCTACAAAACTGGCTATTCAAATTCATAGTTTAACGTGTATACTATTTTCCCCCCTTTTATCGACAAAAAAAAAAAAAAAATGGAAATATGTTTTAATCAATGAACTAGTGATGATAAAGTGAACACGAAAAAAAATATACGGTTAAATCGCAATTTAAAATCGAATCAAACCATTTTAAATAATTTTGATTGAAAATCTGTCAAAAATAAGCTAAATCGGACATCTTGCACCCGTAATGATTAGGTTTTTACTATAGCGGTACACTCATTTGCGTGGTTCAAATGAGCAATTATTTGTTATAATGTTTATTTGAAAATTTGCAATGAATACATGTTGTTATTTTATTTTAAGTCATCTAAAAGTATGTTTGGAAAATGTATATGAACCGTTTAAATTATAAATAGATAAAAGTAATGGATAAATAGTAATATTTGTGATTCGAATAAAATATGTTTAACTCGATCTTGACAAGATATGTAAGATAGCAAACGAGTAAACATGTTTAGCGTTTGTTTGGCACAACTTATTTAAAAATAATTTTTCTTCAAACTTATTTTTCAACCACAACCAATAAAATAATCTCTCATGTAAACCCATAGTTTTTCCTACTTTCTAATCCCTCATTCTCCAAACAAAAAAATAAAAATAATAAATCATTTTTCACTTCAAAATTTAAATAATATCTCCCAAACAAACATAGCTTGCAAAGGTCATCCTGAGGCCTTAGGAACCATGGCATGGATTCCCAATCTTTGGATACTGCAGCACTCAAATGTAAATACTCGTAGAAATTTATAGGTAGCTGAGGGAATTAGCCCTTGTGTATCATTACTTGTACGATCCAAATCCCCCTAAATGGCATTTTCCATAAAATTAGGGGCTCTTCTCTTTGCCCGTTTTCGACCGTTTTCTGATTTCGATTTTTCAAAACGGTGAAAACGCGTTCTCTTTCCCGTTTTCGAAAACGATTGAAAATAGAAAAAAATATGTGAAGAAAACAGTAAATGGCAAAAATGTTGTTTTAGCTATTTTCAATAGAAAACGCGCCAAAAATCCAAAACACGGGAAATGCAGTTTTGAAGCCAAACTCTACCAAAACATTTCCCCAACTTTCTTCTGCCAAAACATTTCCCCAAAACCTCCAAAACTGCCACTTTCCATCCCTCTAAACTCCAACCAACCTCCTCCAAAACCACCGAATTTACGTACCATTGCGAAGCCCTCAATCCCTTCTTTAATTACCACACAAACAACAACCCAAACATATACCAAAATCAATCAAAAGTCATCCTCAAAAACTGTCGAAACACGCAAACTGCCTTTGTTGGAATCTCCATCTCCGGCGACACCCAAGGTCGCACACCACCACCGGTCGATTGCCCACCATAAACTGACCCAAACCATGGCCCCAATTTACCACAAACAACAATTCAACAATCTGAATTTCTAAAGTGCAAATCCAAATGTTCGCCGTCGCGAAGGCCTACAGTGCAATTTGTGGCTTGTGCGAAAATGGGTTCAAGTGATGTTGGGATGTGGTGGTCTAGGTGGTGGTCGGATTGTGACGTAGAAGACGGCGGCTCGTGGAGGGGGCAAAATTGGCCGTGGCTGGAGAAGAGAAAATGCGCCCGTTTGCCTGGAGAAGAGAGAATGCAAATTTCTAAAGTGAACGTGTTTTTCATTTTCATGTGTTGAGAAATAGTTTTCTAAAATGAAAAAAAAAAAGAACGCTTTTTCAACAATTTCAAAGTGGCCACTCAAATCACAAAACTCAAAATGAATTCAAAATTCAAAATTACAAAGCTGAAACATGAAGAGAACAGCCTCTTCTGCTTGTTTTGATGATGGTTGATAAAGCAGAAGTAAATACTGGACATTAATATAATCAACAAAAGCAAAAAGGAAATCCAAATTTTTTGTCATAAGCATAAACTATGCGATGTAACTAAACATGTATTGCACACTCAAAATCCCCAGTTCGCACAAATTTTTCACGAGCTATCTTTAGCCACTTAAAAGAGACCTAATGGAAATCGAAGAAAATTATCCCATTTTCTCTCGTCAACATGTATAGGATAGCATTAGACCATGTTAAAAAAGTAAAAAAGGAGTATAAAACTTGTTCATTCTACTATCGAGTATAGCCACTACTCAATCACCAAACATGCCAATGATGTGCGAACAATCGTGGAGACATATATAAATTTTGTCTATATTAAAAAGAAATGTATGTCACCTCCTTGTTTAATATTTCAATGTGCTTTGTGTACAGTTGTCTTGAACAAGAGGACATGTAGCTTGTTATCCATAGAGAAGTACATAAACCCACCCACTGAATGTGTTACAAAAGACCCAAAACTCCCCCCAGGGCACATCCGAGTTGGTGGAACAATCACTTCGCTGGGACGCTGGAAGCAAGGGTGGAGAGTTCGATTCCTGGAGTTAACACTGGTTTCCAATTAAGGAAGCCAGTTTTTTGTGATTTGCGTAAAGCTTGGAAAACTGACTGGATATGCTTTGGATAGAAGAAGGGGGATTGGTGGTGGGATCCGGCAGAGGGTGGCTGGGGTGGTGGTGGAGCTTGGTGGTGCTGGTTGTGTCTTTGTGCCTTTTGTCTGTGGGATCCATAGGTGTTTGGGTGGTGGAGGAAGCCTTAAATGGGTTATTTTCTTGAGTAGTGGGTGGGGTTGGGCAGACGAAGCCTAGAATAGGGTATTTTCTAGAGGGGTTTCAGGTTTGGATAGGAACTTGTGTGGGCTGGGGGATCTGCATTGGCTTAGTTCTAAAATGCGCCGGGCGCAGAGAACGCAACAGACAGATAGTCAAATAGTTGACCAGATGTGTACCAACTATTACTATATTAACCCGTTTCGCCTCCATTGATTTTCATTACATTGAATTTTATTTTTTTATATTTTTAACCGTACAATCTTTTATAAAATAATATTATACGTAAATAAAAAAAATTTCATTTATTTTCAACTACTTATTTTTCAAAAAATACCATTACACACATTTTCATTTCTACAAAATTGGGGCAAACGAGGGCTAATGATAGTACCTGGAATGATATGTTTTGCATAAAGCAAAGTGCTACATGTACAATCGGATCGACAATCTCGATTGACAATCACACATATGAGAGGAAATCCCACGATGAGTAAAAAAATCATCGGCCCCCTCCCGTGAGGACGTTGTCAATTCTGATTGTACAACTAAAAAAATACTTGCATAAATTATAAAAAGTTTCTTCATTGAAATGATTCATTTTTTCTTTTCATATCGGATATTCTATTTCCCTTTTTGAACAAAATGTTAAATAGTGCTCAACTAGTCGACTAGAAATTTAAATACTTGCATCGATTTAAAATTGTAGATTAATAAATGAGTCGATAATTACTGTTCGATATTTTAGCAAAAAATTGCAAATCAAAGATGTATAAATGTAATAATTGTTTGTCCTTTTAATGCATTTGCGACATATGGCAAGTAACAACTTCCCTTTTTCTTTGTGGGTCATGAAAAGCGTAAGCAATTATTTTGAAGGATTTGTAGTTAAAAGTAGGAAAAAAAATTAAAATTTGCATATAAAATTATTTAATTAAAAAAATGCATAATTAAAAATGAATTCCGTTAAAGATTACTATTATTTTATTAGAGAAATATTCTTCATTAATGCCTTTCTTCACTCCACGAGTCTCTATGTGGAAAAATATATGTATTCATTTACAAACACCTGTGTACACGTAGCGATCTCTCGCTTGAAAGCGGTTGCAACTCTGGCTGGGTTGCTGACTCACTCTCTTCTTCTAGCTTCTCTCTTTGATGAGAGTTGGGTTATTTTGTTTGCTGTTTTACAAAAAATACAGTAGAGCCAGTCACTTTTTTTTGCGCGACCAGTCACACAAAATTGAACTCAAAACCAGGTTGTGATTCTCTGCCTTCTCTTTCAGTTTTTAATACTGAAAAAGTTATGAAAAGAGCAAAACTTGACCTATTCTCTTCTCTGAGTCGGCGCCGATCAGTTCAGGTTCTGATTTTTATTGGGTTGTTTTACATTTTTTTGGTGAGTTTTGAATTTCCCTTGATTTTCGAAAGTCGGTTTGGCTCTGTTTCTCGAGAGGAATTTTCTAGTAATAATAATGGGCGCTCTATCTCCAACTCCATGTTAGAGAGCGAGGAAAATTTGGAGGAAAAAGATCGGCGCCGATCAGTTCAGGTTCTGATTTTTATTGGGTTGTTTTACATTTTTTTGGTGAGTTTTGAATTTCCCTTGATTTTCGAAAGTCGGTTTGGCTCTGTTTCTCGAGAGGAATTTTCTAGTAATAATAATGGGCGCTCTATCTCCAACTCCATGTTAGAGAGCGAGGAAAATTTGGAGGAAAAAGATGCTCCCATTCGCCCTCTTCATGTTCCGTATCAGTCTAAACTTGAAAAAAGGATTAAGGAGTTGGTTAAATCCCGGATGTCGAGCTTGAATTTGAGTGCAGGGACTGAAAGTTCAAGCTCGGAAAATGGGATTTTGAAGTCTGCTAGAGAGGCTGTTAAACTTGGGGAAAAACTCTGGCAAGAGCTTGATTTGATAGGGAAGAATAGTGGCAGTAGTAGTAATAGTACAAGTGGGAGTAATAATAGAAGTAGAAGTGAGGATTGCCCGCAATCTATGTCCATATCTGGCGATGTTTTCTTGGAGAATGGGAGAGTGATGGTGTTGCCTTGTGGGTTGACGTTGGGATCACATATTACTTTGGTCGGAAAGCCGAGGGTGGCGCATGAGGAGACTGATCCGAAAATTTCTCTGTTGAAGGAGGGGCAGTATTTGATGGTTTCGCAGTTTATGATGGAGTTGCAGGGGTTGAAAACGGTGGACAGGGAGGACCCACCAAGGATTCTGCATTTTAATCCGCGGTTGAAAGGCGATTGGAGTGGGAAACCTGTGATTGAGCTGAACACTTGTTATAGGATGCAGTGGGGGACAGCACAGCGGTGCGAGGGTTGGAAGTCCCGGGATGATGAGGAGTCTGGTGAGTAGTAAGAGTCACTTCACTTTATTCTAATATGGAAACAGGGTTTGTTTTCAAATAAGGTGATTGTTATGTCATATTATCTGTTGCGAGAAATTCTTAAAATGATGTTGGAAGTACTTGTAATAAGTACTTTGATATTAAACAAAAAAGTGCAAATGATTGTAGTAATTAGTCCACTTGCCCATATTGTCTATACGTAGGTCTGATTCTGATATGAATGTCTTTGCTGCTCTCAGTTCAGACTATGTGTGGAAAATTTTCACCTAATTTCAAGTTACTAGAGTGAAAGTTGTGTTTTATGCTTGAACAAGAGGACATGTAGCTTGTTATCCATAGAGAAGTACATAAACCCACCCACTGAATGTGTTACAAAAGACCCAAAACTGGTCCCTACTATACAGTGCCAAGCTGGTCCATATACCCCATCAAACTCCTGCAAAAGCAAGCAGAATTAGAAAAAAAAATTCCCATTAACTCTTTCCTCAAGTATTAAAAAACCCATAAATATTTACAGAGAGAGTAAACCAAAAAAAAAATGCTATAATGATAATAGCTATGATTTAATTACCTTTTTTAGTGTCAAAGCAAGGGTCTTGGAATTGAATTTTTCCAAGCTATCATGAGTCTTTCTTGCAGAATTCACGGCATGAATCTGCATAAATGGTGGCATATCAACAGACACAACTTTCACACCACTGCAAGAGAAGAAATCAGCCAATTCAGCCTGTGAACTACAAAATGACCTTCTCCCTCCATTCATTGTGATAGACTGCTTTGGAAGTTCAAACCCTTGTTGCAACTTCTTAATTAGATCACTTTCAGCACTTCTTGACATCAAATTAGCTGCCTTTTTCACATCATATTCTTCATAAGATTTCTTGGACGATGATTTCTTGATTTCATTTGTATCGTTCTTCTCTTTAATCTTGGTTCTTGTGCCCAGCCCTTTCTTCTTAATCTGAGCCACTGCTAAATTATTTCTTTGGTGCTGGCTGTTTGACTTGGTCAAAGTGGCACATGAGATGTCCAAAACAGAGGAAACATCCATAGATTTGGCTTGGGAATTTGTGTCAACTTGGGGGTGTGAATGTGAGTGAGATATTGAATGCCCACTAGAGGTTTTTAAGGAAGCCAGTTTTTTGTGATTTGCGTAAAGCTTGGAAAACTGACTGGATATGCTTTGGATAGAAGAAGGGGGATTGGTGGTGGGATCCGGCAGAGGGTGGCTGGGGTGGTGGTGGAGCTTGGTGGTGCTGGTTGTGTCTTTGTGCCTTTTGTCTGTGGGATCCATAGGTGTTTGGGTGGTGGAGGAAGCCTTAAATGGGTTATTTTCTTGAGTAGTGGGTGGGGTTGGGCAGACGAAGCCTAGAATAGGGTATTTTCTAGAGGGGTTTCAGGTTTGGATAGGAACTTGTGTGGGCTGGGGGATCTGCATTGGCTTAGTTCTAAAATGCGCCGGGCGCAGAGAACGCAACAGACAGATAGTCAAATAGTTGACCAGATGTGTACCAACTATTACTATATTAACCCGTTTCGCCTCCATTGATTTTCATTACATTGAATTTTATTTTTTTATATTTTTAACCGTACAATCTTTTATAAAATAATATTATACGTAAATAAAAAAAATTTCATTTATTTTCAACTACTTATTTTTCAAAAAATACCATTACACACATTTTCATTTCTACAAAATTGGGGCAAACGAGGGCTAATGATAGTACCTGGAATGATATGTTTTGCATAAAGCAAAGTGCTACATGTACAATCGGATCGACAATCTCGATTGACAATCACACATATGAGAGGAAATCCCACGATGAGTAAAAAAATCATCGGCCCCCTCCCGTGAGGACGTTGTCAATTCTGATTGTACAACTAAAAAAATACTTGCATAAATTATAAAAAGTTTCTTCATTGAAATGATTCATTTTTTCTTTTCATATCGGATATTCTATTTCCCTTTTTGAACAAAATGTTAAATAGTGCTCAACTAGTCGACTAGAAATTTAAATACTTGCATCGATTTAAAATTGTAGATTAATAAATGAGTCGATAATTACTGTTCGATATTTTAGCAAAAAATTGCAAATCAAAGATGTATAAATGTAATAATTGTTTGTCCTTTTAATGCATTTGCGACATATGGCAAGTAACAACTTCCCTTTTTCTTTGTGGGTCATGAAAAGCGTAAGCAATTATTTTGAAGGATTTGTAGTTAAAAGTAGGAAAAAAAATTAAAATTTGCATATAAAATTATTTAATTAAAAAAATGCATAATTAAAAATGAATTCCGTTAAAGATTACTATTATTTTATTAGAGAAATATTCTTCATTAATGCCTTTCTTCACTCCACGAGTCTCTATGTGGAAAAATATATGTATTCATTTACAAACACCTGTGTACACGTAGCGATCTCTCGCTTGAAAGCGGTTGCAACGCTGGCTGGGTTGCTGACTCACTCTCTTCTTCTAACTTCTCTCTTTGATGAGAGTTGGGTTATTTTGTTTGCTGTTTTACAAAAAATACAGTAGAGCCAGTCACTTTTTTTTGCGCGACCAGTCACACAAAATTGAACTCAAAACCAGGTTGTGATTCTCTGCCTTCTCTTTCAGTTTTTAATACTGAAAAAGTTATGAAAAGAGCAAAACTTGACCTATTCTCTTCTCTGAGTCGGCGCCGATCAGTTCAGGTTCTGATTTTTATTGGGTTGTTTTACATTTTTTTGGTGAGTTTTGAATTTCCCTTGATTTTCGAAAGTCGGTTTGGCTCTGTTTCTCGAGAGGAATTTTCTAGTAATAATAATGGGCGCTCTATCTCCAACTCCATGTTAGAGAGCGAGGAAAATTTGGAGGAAAAAGATGCTCCCATTCGCCCTCTTCATGTTCCGTATCAGTCTAAACTTGAAAAAAGGATTAAGGAGTTGGTTAAATCCCGGATGTCGAGCTTGAATTTGAGTGCAGGGACTGAAAGTTCAAGCTCGGAAAATGGGATTTTGAAGTCTGCTAGAGAGGCTGTTAAACTTGGGGAAAAACTCTGGCAAGAGCTTGATTTGATAGGGAAGAATAGTGGCAGTAGTAGTAATAGTACAAGTGGGAGTAATAATAGAAGTAGAAGTGAGGAGTGCCCGCAATCTATGTCCATATCTGGCGATGTTTTCTTGGAGAATGGGAGAGTGATGGTGTTGCCTTGTGGGTTGACGTTGGGATCACATATTACTTTGGTCGGAAAGCCGAGGGTGGCGCATGAGGATACTGATCCGAAAATTTCTCTGTTGAAGGAGGGGCAGTATTTGATGGTTTCGCAGTTTATGATGGAGTTGCAGGGGTTGAAAACGGTGGACAGGGAGGACCCACCAAGGATTCTGCATTTTAATCCGCGGTTGAAAGGCGATTGGAGTGGGAAACCTGTGATTGAGCTGAACACTTGTTATAGGATGCAGTGGGGGACAGCACAGCGGTGCGAGGGTTGGAAGTCCCGGGATGATGAGGAGTCTGGTGAGTAGTAAGAGTCACTTCACTTTATTCTAATATGGAAACAGGGTTTGTTTTCAAATAAGGTGATTGTTATGTCATATTATCTGTTGCGAGAAATTCTTAAAATGATGTTGGAAGTACTTGTAATAAGTACTTTGATATTAAACAAAAAAGTGCAAATGATTGTAGTAATTAGTCCACTTGCCCATATTGTCTATACGTAGGTCTGATTCTGATATGAATGTCTTTGCTGCTCTCAGTTCAGACTATGTGTGGAAAATTTTCACCTAATTTCAAGTTACTAGAGTGAAAGTTGTGTTTTATGAGAGAGAATTGATGGGGTCCATAGTGATCCAGCATCCAATGAAAAGAAGAGATCATAGATTTGTTCATTTGGAATTTCCCTGAGGCTGGGGGGAAATAGAATTCTGTGGATAATATAATCACTCGGGAGTCTGATAGGCTAATTTCAGTTTTTCCCTTCCAAAGAAATCTCAGGCTGTGTAAAGAAAAGAGAGAGAAGAGTCTTGTCTATGTGATCGACTGTTAATCTGCTTTGTTTTGAATTACTAATTTGTTATATTGAACTTGAGCAGCTCTGGTGAGTTAATGTGTCATTCACTAAACACGTGATATTTTATAGAGGCACTGCACTTCATAAATGATCCTTTTAATTATCTGCAGTTGATGGCTTGTCAAAATGTGAAAAGTGGAGTAGAGATGACAATGATGGCTCGGAGCAATCAAAGGCAACATGGTGGTTGAACCGATTAATAGGACGAACAAAGAAGGTTTCTATTGACTGGCCATTTCCATTCACAGAAGACAAGTTGTTTGTCCTAACACTTAGTGCTGGCTTGGAGGGTTACCATGTCCACGTTGATGGGAGGCACTGCACCTCGTTTCCATATCGCATTGTGAGTAAAGTACCTTTGTCTTGATTTATGATATGTTGGACTTTGCTCAAGAGTTTACTAAATTTTTGTTAGGGATTTGCACTTGAGGATGCCACTGGATTGTATTTGAATGGGGACATTGACGTCCATTATATTTTTGCTGCTTCCTTGCCCACCTCAGATCCCAGTTTTGCTCCTCAGAGACATCTTGATATGTCTAACAGATGGAAGGCTCCACCTTTTCCAGATGGGCCTGTTGAACTATTTGTTGGTATTCTTTCAGCAGGTAACCACTTTGCTGAAAGAATGGCTGGGAGGAAGTCTTGGATGCAGCATAGGCTAATCAAATCTTCCAATGTTGTTGCTCGTTTCTTTGTAGCACTGGTAGGGGAACTAAGTGGTTCACAATAAAATGCAACATCGTTTCTAAATTAATTCTTGATTTGAAGACTGTCAAAATTAATTCTGATACTACTAATCTGTTAACAGCATGCAAGAAAAGAAGTGAATGTGGAATTAAAGAAAGAAGCTGAGTTCTTTGGAGACATTGTCATAGTACCATACATGGACAACTATGACCTTGTCATCTTGAAAACCGTTGCCATCTGTGAATATGGGGTGAGTAGTGGATTAATTGGGAAGTGAGATTGTTTCTGTATCTGGATTGATCAGGCTTGGTGCCCTGCAGGTTAAAGTAGCATCTGCCAAGTATATTATGAAGGGTGATGATGACACATTTGTGCGAGTGGATGCAGTTGTTGAGGAAGCGAGGAAAATACCTGAGAACAGGAGCTTGTACATTGGAAATATAAATTACTATCATAAGCCCCTACGCAGAGGTAAATGGGCAGTGACATATGAGGTACCATTTCAGCCTTTTTATTCATTGTTTATTTATTCTCTCTCTTTATACCTGTCATTTTAATGTTTATTCTGTTATCCACCTTATGTCCCTAAGTTTCATGTAATTTAATTTTCAACTGCCAGTACTATAGCATTCTTAAGTTTCACCCATTTGGTTTACGAAAAGTGACAGCTTGAAGATTTGGTTTTTTATGTTTACAGATTTCATTTTGTTAAAATCCATTTCATCTTCCAAAAAGTAAAAGTCGTCTGCAAAAACTACTGAAAATTTTATTTTCATAATTTGATAGGTTTTGGAATTTCAGATTCCTTCTATAATTGAAACCGTAATATCTAGTTTCCCATGCCATTATTAGCCTTCTACATTGGATATGCTGTTGCTGTTTCATTGGAAAAGAGAAAATTTCTGGAATTCTGAACCGTCTTTCCAGACTCTAACGAACCTGGAAAAATAATTTGGACCCCTCTTTTGAAATATATCTTTGTCATTTGATACAATCAGTTTGCCCTTTTGAGGTCTGCACATTAAATTTGTATCTCTAGACAGCACACTATGTATGGTAAGAAGGCTCATGTTATTCTGACTTTTCCAATGGTTCAGGAATGGCCGGAGGAAAATTATCCACCCTATGCTAATGGGCCTGGCTACATTATCTCATCAGATATTGCAAATTTTATAGTTTCAGACTTCGAGAAATGTAAATTAAGGGTAAATGCCACCGACTTCCATAATACATTTACATATGCATGTAATATTACCTATCAATCGAAGGTTGTTACTGTTTTTGCAAGCAATACCGACTGAAACCTTGATGTGCAGTTGTTTAAAATGGAGGACGTGAGCATGGGAATGTGGGTGGAGACATTTAATAGCTCTAGACCTGTAGAGTACGTACACAGCTTAAAGTTCTGCCAGTTTGGGTGCATACAAGATTATATTACAGCTCACTACCAGTCTCCGAGGCTGATGATGTGTATGTGGACGAAATTGCAACAACTGGGCCGGCCTCTATGCTGCAACATGAGATGATGCTCAAGACTCCATCTTAGTGTAAAGATCATAGGACCATGAAACTGAGACGAACAAATTTTGCGGCGATTGAATGGTACATTGTAGATCTCATGAACCGTGTGTATATATCTAGAGCTGTTTATGGGCTGCACAAGGTTTAATTGTTTCTTCTTTGACAGTTGTCTAGTTCCATTTGATCAATGGAAAAGTTGCAGGGTAAATACATGTGCGCAATGAACATCCGCGAATCTCTCTGTAATTTAGCATAGTATCATAGCAGCTGGTGAAAACAAGTATACGATTACAAAATTTTCTGTTTCGTTTTTTACTCTCATTAAGCTTACTAGTGCCCTCTTCATCTGCACCATAGAATTATTCTCCCCTGCAAGAGAACTAAAAATTTTAGGCATTTTCTATTGATATCGAGTAATCCCACTCAACCCGCATGGATGACCTTCCGATGACCGTGCCTTCACATGGGATGCATGAGTCCCGTGCGAATAAAATAATTCTGACCCCCCATGTGTGTTTGGAGTCATCCCTGCGTGTCAAGGATCGCAGCTTTACTTAGCCCGTTGACACAATCGCAGTTGCAGTTTGCCCAACTTCAACTGCACATTGTAAATATTAGTTCAAGTTTGAGTTGTAATTTTCTTTTTAATGTAATAGTTATTTCAATTGTAAAATAGCTCTGATATTAGTAAACGTTTAATATGATTCCTCATCACTTAAACGTTTACTCCTTTCATTTAGGTTTTTGTTCAGAATGCTATTATATGGGGTATTAGTCATTCAAAAATCTTTCAAGCTCACTGGTGTCCGTCCCCTACACCAGCAATTGTAATTTTCTGCTTTTGTCAATTGTAATGTTCAGTTTTCATCAATCAATGTTCAATTTACTTTCAATGCATTCAAATTTTCTGTTGTAAGCTTTCTAAAAAATTGTAATAATATTTTCTTTCGTCCTGACGCGATCGAGAAAAGGCGGAAGGTAGTCTAGCGAAGTAGATTACTGTCGTACGGTGTCCCTTTCTGTGCCAAGAAGAAAGGCACCCCGTGAAAGTTTGTATCAGAGCTGCGGCTCACGACCCTTGATAAGAAAACTATGGATCCAATTACATCCTACACCACTAAGGTGGGAGAGCCTCAAAAGAAGAGTACTACTAAACGGCGCGTGGATGCGCTTGATGAGACAACTACTAGGTTGTGCTATGCCGTGGACGGTCTTGAGGAAAAAGTCGAGATGGCAGAATCCGAGATTCGAGGATTACACATCCAACTGGATGAAAGCCAAAGGAATGACTGAAACTGCTGCCACGTATTTTATGTAACGTGATTTTATACCGCAAGCGCACGGTGTCAAGTTTTGTAGTATATTAAAGAATTGAAAAGTGTCGAGCCCACAGGGATTGATATTCGACTTCCACTGAGTACTATAATTCTGTCTGCGTTTACTTTATCTAGACAATCGGATCTTAATTTGATGTTTGAATGCTAAACTAATGTCGATGAATTTAATAATGCAAGAAAAGTGAGGCAATTTCTAAAGATTAATTCAGAATTTCGTAAAGTCTAGGGAATGATTTCACCATATTATCAACATGATTCTCAACCCCTATAGATACTTCCATTAATTATTTCCCGAATTCATAGGCAAGAATCCTAAATTAATTCTATTTCCCCCTCTTGAGCGTCAAATAGAACATATCTCTATAATTCAACCCCAATATCTCTATTCCGAGTTAAATTTATAAAGATTGCCACGCACTTGGTTCTTGTTTTACCCTCAAAGAATTGCACTTTCTCTCGAAATCTACAAATCTAGGTTATATTGTTCTTAGATCATATCTAAATTTCCCTCTCTCAAGCGTTAAACTTAGAGTATCAATTCATTCAATTGGTGATCAAGCAACCGAAAACATTAAGCAAGAACAATACAAATTAATTCTGAAAAATTAAATGAAAATACTATAAAGAAATTGAATCATGTCTCAAATAGGTTACATCAAACCCTAGATTTAATAACTTAGTTCATGATTGAGGAGAAGAACATGATAAAATATAAATTAAATCTCATGGAGAAGAGAAAGATAAGAAAAAACTTAGGTTGCAGCTTGATTCCTTCTCCAAGATCCAATGATTCTTCTCTCAATTAGTGTATATCCTTGCCTCCTTTCTTCAGCCGTCAAAACCTACTTTCTTAGGTCTCTCAATATGTATTTATAATTCCCTTAATTTGCATTACGAGTTGGAGTTGGGCCGGGTCGAAAATATTTGGAAAAATTGCATTTTTTCTTTCTCGGCATGCAGCACCTAGGCGCTGAGTTTCTGTTGGAATTACAGAATTGTGGCGCCTGGGCGCTGAGGGTATAGCGCTTGGGCGCCCGGTTCGCCCGAAACGGCATTCTGCGCGTGTTTCAATATTTTCAGCATAACTTTCTCGTTCGATATCCAATTGAAGTGACTCAAGATGCGTTGGAAAGGTAATTCAAAGGGCTACAACTTTGCTTCAGGAATCATTCTCCAATTCGATCATTTACTATGTCGAAAATGGGTCTGAATGTGGGACTAAAAATCCGGTGCAAAACTTTTCGGTTGGAAAATGATTTTTGATCATATCTTGATTAAATTTGATCCCTTTTGACACCTTCCTTCATCCAATTGACTCCTACCACTCTCGGATCTTCATTTCAAGTTCCGATACAACTTTTGATTATGTGCACTTTAGTCCTCAAACTTTGGATCTCTTACATTTTGGTCCTTTTATCCAATTTCGCCAACTTTTGCCTATTTCTTTCATTTGGCTCTTTTAGCACTTGTTTTCTCCGCTTCATCCATCCTTCAAAGTAGCGTGAAAACCACATGTTAGCACTTCTAAAATACTCTCCAAGATAGCAAAATTATGAAATTAATGGCATAATATAATGAGTGTAAATCACTCATCAGCTGCTGCAATCATTCCTAATCTGCAGGATGAAATGAAAGCGTTGAGAGCTCAATTACGAGTACTCCAACGTGCGGTGGACAATGAACAAGCTCTCGTATTTAAGTATACTCCTAGACTCGGAATTCCTGAACCGTGTATCTACGGAGGGGTACATGATGCAAAAGAAGTCGAAAACTTCTTATTTGACATGGAACAATACTTTCTCACAGCCTCGATCGAAGACGAAGCTAGAAGGTAACCACAGCTACCATGTATCTGGGTAGAGATGCAAAACTATTGTGGCGAACCAAATTTAGACATACCTGTATGAGACCGTACAATAGATCTTCAAGGACGGAGGACGGTCTCTTCACGAGATAATCGTACCCACTTTCGTTCTAGGATAACGACAACATCGAAAGAGAAAAGCGAACCAGTTGATCTGCAGTTTCGTCCCTCCTACTTTGGGATCTTCTCAAGGAAGCGATCACATCCCAGTTTTTCCTGAAAATGTCGAGTATCAGGCTCGACGGGCACTTCGAAACTTGAAACATACAAGCTCTATCGAGAGTATGTGAAAGCCTTCTCGGGTATATGCTGAATATTCGAGATATGTCGGAAAAGGATAAGCTCTTCACGTTTATGGAATGGTTAAAATCGTGGACACTCACGGAACTTCAAAGACTAAAGGTTACTGATTTGAGCACGGTCATGGGAGCCGCCGAATGTTTGAGTGACTACCAAACGGAATCCAGAAAAGATCAAACTTCGAGGAGTAATCAAGCAATTGGAGGTGGTAACAAACCTTACAGACCCAGCTCGAACCCAAATGGGAGAGAGCGTTACTCTCAGAATAAGGGAGGAGCCTATCAAAGCACCCGTGACTTTCAGGGAAATTATCATAATAACCGTCAAGGAAATTATAACGGCAGCAACAATAACAATTGGAACAAAGGAAAAGCAACGGAGGGCCGAATTGATGCCACTCCTAAATTGATGTGCTTTTTATGCGAAGGATCTCATCGGGTGTCGGAGTGTTCTCAGAAACGAATGGTGAATGCATATTGCCAGCTAGCATGTGTCGGGTCAAGTTCAAAGCAAGAGGCCCCACAGGCTAATTGTCATGGTGAGACCGACTCCGAAGAGGATGAGGACGTAGTTGGGACATTCTCACATCGGTGCAACACACTGTCGCATCGAGTTTTGAAAAGGATGATGTCCCTTTGAAAGAGGCAGGGATGGAAGAAGCGAAAACTCGAATTTGTAGGGCCAAAGGCTTAATGTACGTTGATGTGAAGATCAACAGGAAGCCTATCCGAGCTATGGTGGATATTGGTGCTACCCACAACTATCTTGCATGTACCGAAGTAGAGCGACTTAGACTTGTTCTGGAAAAGGGTAGTGGGAAGGTCAAAGCAATCAACTCCTCTGCTCAACCAATAGTTGGAGTGGCGAAATCAGTGTTGATCAAAGCAAGTCCCTTTGAGGGAAGGATAAATTTATGCAGTTCAGATGGATGATTTCAAGCTTATTCTAGGATTGAAATTTCTTCGGGATATTAAGACAGCAGTATTGCCGTATTCTGATTCGTTAATGATGATGGGTAAGAAGTCGTGTATCATCTCTACACAAGTTGGGAGGATAGGCGAGAAGAGTATCTCAACCATGCAATTCAGTAAGGGTATCAAGAAAAATGAACCTTCATTTTTGTGCACTGTTCGATTAGAGGAGATCGAAGAGTCGACTGGTCCTATTCCAAAACCCGTTAAAAGGCTTGTTCGAGAATTTGAAGACATCATGCTGGCCGAATTACCAAAGAAATTACCACCAAGAAGGACGTTTGATCATGAAATTGAACTTATTCTAGGTGTCAAACCTCATCCTAGGGTACCATACCGTATGTCTCAGCCTAAGCTTGAAGAGCTTAGGAAGCAACTGGGAGAAATGTTGGAGAGTGGAATCATTGTGCCTGCAAAGTCACCATACAGAGCTCCTGTGTTGTTTCAGAAAAAGACCGATGGTTCTCTTAGAATGTGCTGTGACTATCG